GTGTTGTGTGGGTGCGTTTAACAGTCCCACTATTACAATACAGGACAGCTGGTGTATGATGTGGGTGCGTTTAACAGTCCCACTATTACAATACAGGACAGCTGGTGTATGGTGTGGGTGCGTTTTACAGTCCTACTATTACAGTACAGGACAGCTGGTGTATGGTGTGGGTGCGTTTAACAGTCACACTATTACAATACAGGACAGCTGGTGTATGGCGTGGGTGCGTTTAACAGTCCCACTAATACAATACAGGACAGCTGGTGTGTAGCGTGGGTACGTTTGTTTGACCAGGGGGTTTTTAGGGGTTTAACTAATACAATACAGGACAGCTGGTGTGTAGCGTGGGTGCGTTTGTTTGACCAGGGTTTTTTTTAGGGTTCTGTACGGCTGACTGACCTTGTAACAGCAGGCGTCGGCTGGGCAGATGACCTGCCGCCTGCGCCTATCGGCTGCTGCTGCGGCGGTGTAGTTCATGGGAATGTCTTCGGTGGTGGGCACGCCATCGGGATTGGGAATGTTGGGCAACACAATAGGCTCATTGGTATCAATACCTACCGATGCAGTACCGTGTAGGGGAGTGGAGTGTAAGACAGAGCAGGAAAAGTAATACCACGGCATTCAACGGATAGAGCCTCGAACCTTAAAACCCTGGAACTCTAGAACATTGATGGAAATGCAGTCAATAGAGCAAGGACAGGCAGTGGGCACGTATCAATGACTGCGGTGCAGGGAATCGGTTGACATAGGAAGCTCACGTGACCACACACCCACGGGGTTGTTAAGAATGTATAGCCAAGTATTCGATAAAGAGTGTTATGTGCTCAATGTACACAGGTGGTCATATCATATGTGATCAATGTACACAGGTGGTCATATCATATGTGATCAATGTACACAGGTGATCCTATCATATGTGATCCATGTACACAGGTGATCCTATCATATGTGATCAATGTACACAGGTAAACATGTCATATGTGCTCAATGTACACAGGTGGTCATATCATAAATGATCAATGTACACAGGTGATCCTATCATATGTGATCCATGTACACAGGTCCTATCATATGTGCTCAATGTACCCAGGTGGTCATATCATATGTGATCAATGTACACAGGCGATCCTATCATACTCACATGACTGGCTTAAATGGCTGGCAAACATTTCTAATTTGGCACCCGGCGTCACAGAGATGTCAAAGCAGTACGAAATTTACCCGTGGATATACAAATATACATACAATAGAAGGATACACAGTTTAGAACATCCTAGAAAGAAACACAGTTATATACATCATAGCAAGATACATGGATATAAACATCCTAGAAAGAAACACAGATATAAACATCATAGCAAGAAGTACATATAGAAAATTATAAAGGAGAGATACACAGATATAAACATCATAGCAAGATACACAGATAAAAAATATAGAGGAAAGATACACAGATATAAACATCATAGCAAGATACACAGATATAGACATCATAACAAGATACACAGATATAAACATCACAGCAGATTACACAGATAAAAACGTCCTAACAAAATACACAGATAAAAAACATAAAGGAGAGATACACAGATATAAACATCATAGCAAGATACACAGATATAACAGATATAAACATCATAGCAAGAAGCACAGATAAAAAATATAGAAGATAGATACACAGATATAAACATCATAGCAAGATACACAGATATAGACATCATAACAAGATACACAGATAAAAAATATAAAGAAGAGATACACAGATATAAACATCATAGCAAGATACACAGATAAAAAACATAAAGGAGAGATACACAGATATAAACATCACAGCAGGATACACAGATAAAAACAGAAAGAAGAGATACACAGATAAAAACATCATAGCAAGATACACAGATAAAAAACATAAAGGAGAGATACACATATATAAACATCATAGCAAGATACACAAAAAAAAACTTAAAAAAGAGATACACAGATATAAATATCGCAGAAAGGGACTCAACGGCGCATGCCCATACACATACCCAGGACAGACGGCAGCTTTCTCAGCCGTTCAATGAGTTCGGGGTCAGTGCTGTTGGCCAAAATAAAGCCCAACTGCTCGCGTAGATTGCCCAGGCCTACAGCAAGCTGCTCGGCAGTGGTGATGTTATTCTCCGCCAGTAATTCAGCTGTGTGTGCAACGGGCGAAGGAGAGCGACCTATTTTTAGAATTTAGAGAACCTTAAATCCTAAAACCCTAAGTTGAACGCAAGTAGGGTTTCTCCTGTCACAAATCACACAATGTGACACCATACCACCACGTGACAGCAGGGCTATCACGCGATAGCAACACCTTAAGCCCCAAATGTGGTTGAACAATAGAAACAGGGCAGCATAGGCCAATCAACAGAGGTTGGGGTTAATAGTAGGGCCTATGACGCAACGAAGCACAGGATAAATACCACAGCGCCATGCACATGAAATAATGCTTAAAACACAACGGATTGGGGGGGGGGGGGTGGCTATTCGTGTGAGCAATAACACAGTCGCACAGCCGATGGTAACCATACCTAAAAACGTTCTGTTGATGCCAGCTTCATGATCGGGTCTAAGCAGAACCAAATGCTCACCTAACGCAGGAATCCTACTTGGCAGACTGAAGAGAAAGTCAATGATATTAAGGGAATTGAATTTCATGGTGACCTTAATGATTGAAAGTTTTTGCATGGAGCTAAGTATAAAA